ATGGGTCCGTGCGACCCCAACCCAACCCCAACCCAACCCTAAGCTTGGCGCTGACAAATGGGTTGGGGTTGGGTTGGGGTCGCAAAATTTCTAACCCAACCCCAACCACACCCCGACCCATTTGCCAGCGTACGTAGCTGTCGTCATGCGATTCCTTCGAGATACATCTATAGGTTTCTGTCATCATCCATCTAATTCTACTTCGGCCCATCTTCGGTCCGCTCCTGTATTTATGTACAGCTAGTGTTGGTTGGCTTTGCACTAAGTGCGTAAAGGGAAATAACGATAACTAGGAATGCATTCTGTTCGGTGGTTCTAATTGATATCTACGAACATAGGTGCTACGAAGGTATACCTAAGCTCTTGCGCAAGGTGGGCCGAAGTCGGGCCGAAGTGTCCAGCAGCCGACGTCTCTACCGATACTCACGATCCGACAGCTAGCATCCTTTTGTAGCTCTTTGTCAAATCCACTCTGTTACAAGGCATCTCTTGATCAGTCATCTGTGTATCGTCATCGATACGGCCGCTGGGGTCTAGCCCCTTACAACTGTATTGCTAAGTAGAGCCGCGAAACAGCCACTAATCAAAAATCTTATTAGAGAAATATAAACAGTAGAAAATAACATAAGAACTACAGCGTCTCTATCGTTTATGTCGCTGCGCTGGTTCAATTGTAACATTAGTCACACAGGGACGGACACTAAGAGGGCTTTTAAGGCGTCTGGGCTAGTCTGTATTAACGATGACCTCAACAACTCTATAACCCTACACAACGCGTTATAACTCCAGTATAGTAACTATTGTAAAGTCCGCCCCTATGTGACGAAAACCCCCGTGTGCCGAAAATGACCAATCGGATCATGAGGGTTGTACAGAGGGGCCATTCAAAAGTTCTGTCTGACGCTAATTTCGGCGCTTCGGCGCAACTTGTCTTGGCACAACTCCCACCTTTGAGCTGAGCTGTTGATCAGTCGTAGTCATCTATCTACTATGGCTCCTAATACTGATTCTTATACCCGTACCTTAATTGTAACGTTAAAGTCACCTCCTGTTGGCAAGTCAACGTCACAGATCTCAGAGCTGACTGGCGTCCATCCTCGTACGGTTGATCGTATCTATAGTAGAGCTATCGCTGCTGGCTCTGAGCCAAACGTTCTCCCTCTTAAGATCTTCCCACAGCACGTCCAGGATGCTCCGAAGCCTGGTAGACCTGCTAAGCAGGCAGAGGAGGTGAAGGAGCAGATGTTTCAACAAGTACGACGCGATAGATATGGACGAGAGAAGAGCTGTGCTGACCTTGCTGGTGGGCTCAGTCTCCAAGGAGTCGAAATCTCTGCCTCTACCGTCTGGAGGGTATTGAGAGCAGCAGGATACAGAAATACCAAGCCAACGAGGAAGCCTGGGTTGACACAGGAGATGAGGAGTGCTCGTCTTAAGTGGGCATTAGAGCATAAGGACTGGACGTTGGAGGACTGGAAGAATGTCATCTGGACAGATGAGACGTCCGTGGTAATCAACCACCGACGTGGGGGCTACAGAGTCTGGAGAAGGGCAGATGAGAGAGTAGTCAAGAGCTGCATCCGTGAGAGGTGGAAGGGATACTCTGAGTTTATGTTCTGGGGCTGTTTCTCGTACGACAAGAAAGGTCCATGCCATGTCTATCAGCCAGAGACAAAGGCAGAGAAAGAGGATGCTGCTCGTCGGATTGAGCAGCTAAACGCTGAGCTTGAGCCTCTACAGAGAGAGGAGTGGGAGCTGTTAGAGTCTATGAGGAGAATAGGGCTACGTAATAAGCGTGGCAGGAAGCCTCAATGGAGATGGACAGAGAAGACAGGCAAGCTGATGCGCACGTCTGGAGGTGGCATAGACTGGTGGAGACGTCAGACCTGCGTTCTCATCCCAAAGCTGATTCCTTTCGCCAAAGAATGCCTCTAAGATAGACCTCAGACTGTTGTAATGGAGGATAAGGCACCTAGCCACGCCCACCACTATCAGAGTGTGATCTATCGCCTGCACGACGTTGAGAGACTACTCTGGTGTGATAACTCGCCAGACTGTAACTGTATTGAGCCATGCTGGTTCTGTATAAAAAAAGGAGACAACGCTAAAGGGAGCTCCTAAATCAAGAGCAGACGCAGTTAAGATTTGGCAGAAATGCTGGAAAGATCGCTCTCAGCAAAGAATCCAAGCTTGGATCGAGCGAGTTCTTGTACACATTCAAAAGATTATTGAGCTACAAGGTGGTAATGAGTACATAGAGGGAAGAGACAAGCCTCGACTAAGGCGGCAGTACATTGAATCCGGACTTACGTCACCTGCAATTAGACTTAACACCAACAACCGAAAGTATGCGTCTAGAGCACACCAGCTATCCAGCAACCACCCAATCCAGAAAGCAATTACAAGGATCACAAATACAGACAAAGCTAGCTACAAAAAGCCAAACCAGCATAGACAACTATATACTATTATTAAGTCAATCCCAGAGAGAGACAACAATAGCGTAGAAAAGATAA